AGCTCAGCAGGTCTGGCAGCATCTGTGAAGGAAAAATCAGAGGTAACATTTCGGCTTTGGTGACCCTTCCCCAGAACAGTGAAGGGTCACTGGAGCCAAAACATTAACTCTGATTTTTCCTTCACAGATGCTGCCAGACCTGCTGAGCTTTTCCAGCAATGTTCTTTTTGTTCCTGATTTATAGCATCCACAGTTCTTTCAGTTTTTATTAACTTTAGTTAATTCATTTTGTGCCATTTGATCAGTTTCCATCCCTATTAGATTTTAATAGGCTAATATCTTCCATTCAAATAGTGCCTTTAATACAGTAAGTTGGTCCTTGACATTTTACAGGAGGTTTGCTTCAAATTTTATTCGATAAATTAGGAGATAAACAGGCGAAAACAATAAGTAATAAGGATCATGTTAAAGTTGGACTAAGACAGAAATACTGTGAATTCAAGTGCATTAATTCTAGATGGCTAAAAGCTACATCTCAAATAGTGGAGTGATTGAAACAGAGGATGTGAAAGTGCCCTGAATTCAAGCAGTGGAGAGATTCTGCAACTTTTTAGGACTGGACAGCGAAATGGAATTAAGGAATAACCAAGCCACAGAGGGGTTTGAAAATGAGTAAGAATTCTAAAACTAAGGCATTGTTGGAGTGGGAGTCAATGTAGGTTGTGAGTAAAGAAATGAGGGGAATTTGGAGAGAGTTAGGATATGGACAACACAGTATTGGAAGAGTTTAAATTTAATTAGGATGGAAGATGGAGTTCAGACAGGCGATTATTCAAATTGCCAGGTGTACGACAATAGGCCAAGATGTGTAGGTGCAAGCAGACAGTATTGCGATGTAGGCAGAAATTTACCTCTGGGTCAGATATAAAACTAAGGATCTGAATAATCTGGTTCAGCAGTAAGCAACAGTTGCCAGCTGAAACAAAAACAAACATTTGTGGATAGAAAGCTCTAGTCTAGTGACGCTTCAGAACTAGAACTGTCCTGGAAATATTAACTCTGCTCTCTCTCCTCAGATGCTGCCAGACCTACTGAGTTTCTAAAGCAATTTTTGGTTTTGCTTCAGATTTCCAGCATCACAGTTTGGACTTATTTTAATTGCCAACATCAAGTCAGAGATTGTACCTGGAATTGATATCAAGTTGGATTAAATTTTTACCTGTCAGCATCTGGTGGAGGACAAGCAGTTGACAATTAAGAGATTAAGGAAGGGTGAATAGTAGTAATGGTAAGGTACATCTGAATGCTAACATATACTACTCAGTAATTACCCGTAGCTGTAAAATAGAATACGTTTGCAACTGGCCTTTGAACAATCTCTTGGTATATGAAGATACAGCTTTCCCACCTGTTGCTGGATTAATACTGGCTGCTATGTGAAAGTGGCAGAGTGAATTCGCATGTAGAGGTGAATTTCTATGGACTTCATGTGCATCCTGCTGATGGGGTAAATATCCACTGTGTGCAATAAGACCAGACGATCTCCTCCTCCCTATACGAAAGGATCTGATATTCAGCTGAAAAGAAACAAAAACTAAAACATTAACAGCAAAATTTCTGAACAAAATCATTTTTGTTAGGTATTAACATGGTGATTACAGTTTACTGGAATATTTTCCCTCCCTTCAGAGAAAAGTGCTGAGAATTCATTATTGTAAACTTCCTCACACCTCTAAGGCATTCTATACCTTTTCCCGATTGGAAACGTTCCTCTTCAGGTTGTTGGTTGTGAAGACAGATTCAGACCACTGAGTGTGGCCTTCTCCAGAAAGCAAAGTATCGCTTGGAAGTAAAGTCTCTGCCCATAACCGACAAACATTGTCCTTGCAGCAGGTCAGCAGAACATTACATGTGAGACCCCTGCTATGAAGGAAAAGTCAGGAACTCAAATTAGATCAATTACTGAGATTATCTCAAACTTTTAAAGAGGGCATAAACTATGATTGAAAATACTGCAAATTCTATGAGGTTGAGATCAACATTTACCAATGCACTGGCCACCAGCAATATGTTACATTTATGTGGCTAACAGCAAATCAGATGCTACCGATTTTGTTTTGATGAGTAAGTAGAAAATGATTTATAGATACTATCTGGCATCTATAGTATGAGCTCATATTTACACAGCATACGCTTTTCCAAGTTTAAGTCATTTGTGCTTTCTTTCAGCTCAACGCTCAGATGATAAGCTGCATGTGCTACAATTTATAAATTCATGCCTGAATATCAATATTGGATTAAACAGAAAGTAGGTGAACTCTGTCACTGAATGGTGGTATAGGCTCTTTAACTAAAATACAAAGTTCAAATATATTATACAATATGCTAAGGAACAACACTAGATACAGTTGCAGAGTTCCCTGGATTGCCTAAGCATCAGGCAGGGGTGTTAATGCTATACAATATTCCGTGACTGTTTCAATACCACCAGAGATAAACAACAAGATAGTTGCTTGGTAGTAGAGAACGTGAATATTGCTGAAAAGAAGCATGTTGACAAAGATTTTTGCCTTTCATTCATCGGGACCAAGACAGGCATACCAAATTTCGAACAATCACCAGAAATTTATGTTACATGAGAAAAGGGTTTGCTGTCTGCTACCCAAATTGATTATGATTGTAAGGTATTATCATGGAGAAAGCAATTAGCAAATATGGACTCCTGAGTAATTCAATAAAGGTATCTGGGCCACCCAGTCATGGAACATGACCTAACAGCAGACATTTCGTTTTGGATTTACGTACGATAGGTTGAGCACTGTGCATACTCTATTTATTATGAATTGTCCAGGAACGTGTCTGATTTGATCGGCTAATTGTTGGGGATATGGCTTAAGTATTTGGCATTGCACTGACAATGAAATTCAAACATAACCCTGCACAATTGTATGGTGGGCAGATGTTCTTTGGACTGATGAATGGAAATTACCTCTTCTGCCATCACTGCGTAGTCGTAGCTTGAAACAGCTTGGTTACACATTGTTCAAAAATCAGTGCATGAATTTCATTGCTGATACAATGTCAGTTATGTCCATTCCACGTACTGATCAAATCAAACAGCATGTCTCTTCAGTTGCTCGTAATAAGCAGAGAGGCACTCAACCAGTCCATCCTTGCAAATCCACAAAACATCTGTTAGATATGGTTCCTTGATTGTTCAGCAAGTGCTACCCAATAGTGAGTGCACAAAAAAAAATACGAACACCAAATTCAGAAAATAAATTAGGCTTCTCAAGTGGCCCACTTACACTTGTTAGAAGCAACATATATCCATAAGCAGGGACCCACATACTGCAAACAAAAGGAATGACTTCAAGCCTTCCATCTTTTGTTTTTGAATTACCTGGAAGCTTGAAGAGCCTACATTGCCATTGACAAAGCAACAGACAAGTTCTCTGCCATAGCTAGAATCCTACAACAATACAGTATGGAAGAAGCCCTTTGCCTACTGCGTCTGTATCACTAAAAAAATACATTATACCTACACTGTCCCACAGTCTTGAACTTTAAGATATTTCAAGTGACCATTCAAATACTTTTAATGCTTGAGGTTTCTCACTTTATCTACACTCCCAGGAGGGCATTCCAAACCCTTACTGGTCTCTGGTTTAAAAAAAACCTTTCCTCAAATCCCCTCTGAACCTCTACCTTTCATGTTCAGTTTACAACCCCTTGTTTCTGACCATTCAACTAAGGGGAACAGCTGTTTTCTATCCACCATGTTCATGCCCCTTTGACCTCATACACCTCTATCAGGTCCTCTTACAAATTTCTCTGCTCCAAAGAAAATAACCCGAGCTTATCCAGTCTCTCAGCAGAAACGTTCCAACCCAGGCAACATCCTGATCAATCTCTCTGTACTCCAAGTGCAATAATCATTTCACTCCTACGATGACCAGAGCTGCACACACTACTCCAGCTGTGGCCTAACCGAACTTGTGCACAGCTCTAACATGACCTCCCTGCTTTTATAATCTACGCCTCAACTGATAAAGGGAAACATCCTATGTACCTTCTTAAATTGCCAACCAATCAGTACCCTTTTCTCCTTCAGTTAAATTTTTGTGCACATTGGAAACCGAGCATTCTTCCATTTGTCCTGATGAGTGCAAGACAAAAAACTTCTGCAAGATGCCTTTAACGTTGCTGAAGAGTGTGGAAAGTAGTGGCACAATTTAAAGCCATACCATGAAAAATAACACTGCAATGTGATGTTAGGTTCCAGAGTTTAGAAAAAGGGGGCTCACTGGGAAAAGTCACTGATAGGTGTTAAATATAAACTATTAGATAGAAAAGATAAGCTTAATACCGAACAAAAACAAATCCCAAAGAATTGCGGATGCTGGAAATCAAAATCAAAAATTGCTGGAAAAAATTCAACAGGTCTGGCAGCATCTGTGGAGAGAAAGCATAGGTAATGTTTCAGTTCTGAATTTCTGAAGGGTCACTAGATCCCAAACATTAGCTCTGCTTTCTCTCCACAGATGCTGCCAAACTGCGGAGTTTTTTCAGCATTTTTTGGCTTTGTTTTCAGCTCAAAATTACTTTATATTTAAGAAAACAGGGTGGTACAACAAGTTAAGTTGACAAATGAAAAATAAACTCAAAACATGTTGACAGAATTGCCTTTTGGAGTAATTTGTGAAGCAACAGTGGAGAAAAAAAATTAAAGGCCTTGTGAAATACAGCTTTTTTTTTGCAGTCTCAAACTTGATGTTTCAAGATGAACTTGATCATTGAGATCGCCAAACGTTTGCCATCAGTTAATATCAGCGCTAATCAGACCATCACTACTGCAAGTACTGTCAAGACATACTAACCTTGGCATGTACTTGCTGGTCTTCCGCCAAGAAAATCCAGTAACAGCCCTAGGATGGGCTAAATATATAAAAGAAAAATCGATATCTCCTTCTTTCTTGTCCATTGGTGTTGCTGGTGCCATCACTGCTGACTGCCAGCTGCTGGAATTATACCACACTTTCACAAGACAGTCATCCTGGGTGGATAGAATAGGAGAGGAGAGACAGAACTTGACCGATTTTGAACATCGACCTAAAGCATATTCTTCATCCAGCATTAATGCAAGGTATATTTATCCAAATGTAGTAAATATATCTTGCACCTTCTACACCACCATATTTCAAGATTTAATCACTAGGTGTAATAATTAAAAACTTTCAGACACAAATTAATCAATAGTCATTGCCTTCTACTCCCATTTCAAGCTACCTTCTCAAAGCATGTAAGAGACACATTTCATGCACCAAATAGTTGAGGGACTCCTTCTGTGCAGATTATGTTTTCATCAAATATTGATCACCAGGCCCGTCAAGGTTCTTCGTTCGTAACAAATCATTGAAACTACAATAACTGGCATTTAAACAGCATTTTCAGAGCTGGACTTTCACAAGAAAATGGTGGGAAGTTGTGTTGAAACAGCTCCCTGATGCATTCGCACTTCTGGGAAACATTCGTAGAGTGGTCTAGGAACTGGATTGAGCACCAAGTCCGGAAATGTTAAGAACTAAATCCAATTCATGCCCAACTTTGTGCCAGTAATCTATTGACATCTCTGAGGAAGACCCTGCTTTGTGCTCAGGCTACCAAGTGTCAGCAGCAGTTCAATGCCCCAGTGATTGGGAGACCGTGACGCTAAAGCTGTTAATGTATCTGCCCGAGGGAGGATTTCACTTTTATCCCGATGCCACTACAGTCTTCGGGAATCTTCAGTACAATCCTTTTATGTTGGTCAGCAAGTCATAATCACAGGCCTGTTTCAGTAGCATCTGCCTTTCCTGGTGGAGCTCTGTTCCTTGAAGCCTCCAGCTTTGCGATATTGCCCATCATTTTCAATTAAAGAAAAATTATACTGTTGCTGGCAAGTAGCAGTTTAAGGGACTCATTCAGTTCTCCTGCCAGGGTCCTGGAGTCCACAGGACAATTCAGTCCTTAAATCAGATAAAATATCCCAAGATCCTTCAGAGTTGGACAAAAATGTATGTGAGACTACAGAAAGTAACCACAAACTTGATCAAATTGGGTTAAAAGGAGGGCAGGGGTGGAAAGAGAAGGAGAGAGATAATGGGGAGAAAGTTCAAAGTTAAAATCCTACACACATTCTACAGGTGTCCTAAAAACATTCAAAAAAGTGGAACACTGGGAAGCATGCACAAACAAAGTCAAAAAGAACAGAGGCCTGGGACATTATAGAGCTGAAAGTTAGAGATTAGGAGAGGCTTTATCTTGAAAACTTTTAAGAAACAGGGTCTCAAGTTTAAAATCAGATATGCCTGTGGTGACAAGCAAGCAAGGCTTGGTGGTACATCACGGGAAAAAAAAAGAACAAGATGATTTGAAAGTTTAGCCTAAATAGCTGTTAGACAAGCAGGCCAAAATCAGCAGTTAACTAGACTAGAGGTAACTTAAGCATTGATGAGCGTTTCAGCCACTAGTAGATTCAAGCAGTGCCAGAATTGGTTAGGCTCACAAAGTAAATAATTTCGGAGATAGAGAAGCTACGTGGTCTCAAGTTCAGCATGGCATTTAATGGGGATGTGAAAAACTAATTTAACCCAAGGCTAGCTGGACAGGGGTGGAATCAGTGACAAGAGTACAGGTGAGAGACACAGGTCTGGAGAAAAAATAAACTTCAATATCCTCACTGTTTTAACTGGAACAAATTGCAACTTATGTGATGCTATCAATAGTGAGAATTTTTTAATGAAAAAGATGAGACTGGAGAAAATTAATACTCCAAGTAAGAGGAAGATGTCCAACACTGACTAAAATACAGTCAGACACCCAAACGCAATTTGAAATGGTGGCATGGTGGAAAGCAGGGCTGACAAGGATGTTGAAGGGTCTAGGCCCAAAACGTCAGCCTTCCTGCTCCTATGATGCTGCTTGGCCTGCTGTGTTCATCCAGCTCTACAACTGGTTATCTCAGATTCTCCAGCATCTGCAGTTCCTACCACCAACTGTTTCATGGTACTGGTATGGGTTGCTCTTCAGCACCAACAGATCAAATTTTAAGATTCAGCCGCAGAAACAGTTTGGCTTGAAATTCATACTTAATTATTTTTCTTCTTTCCACACATTTAAATATCAACTTCATTTTTCCCCATCTATCACTATGTCTCTTAAGCCCATTTTATTGTTTATTCTGGTCCCTGCAGAATTCTGTCAAGGAATGGGACGGGAAATTTGTGTCTTGTGGTGGTATCTCACTTGAGATAGTGGAAATGGTGGTATCTGCTCCAGAGGTGGTGGGGTGGGAAGTGAAGACAAAGGGGATCCTATCACTGTGGTGAGAGGGAAAAGGTGAGTAGAGCAGAAAATGGGTTGGATATGGATGAGAGCCCAGTTAATAAGGTGTTTTAGCTAACTAAATGGAATTGAATCGTCAATGCATAATTCTCCAGAAAATTCCATGAACACATTTTCAGCTTGGGCAAAAATTAAGCTTTTAGTGGTAAAAATTTTTGTGAAAACATGAGTGCTTAATTTCCAATTTCTCAATTCAACTATTTCAACTTCATGGGAATCTTAGAGCATTGCTAGCTTCCATTATTCAAGACAAACTCAAACAAACCACTCAGAACATAGCAAACATTGTCAGTGGTCTACATCAAAGAAAAATACAAATACCTTTCCCACTGTTGCGAAAAATTCACCATCTGGAGACACCTTTAATAGATGGATGGGAGATGCAGTTCTGTGGGGGAAAAAGTGCAGAACAACATTCACATCAATCGAAAAACTAACACCCAAGTCCAATTCTAAAATGGGAAAAGAAATCATGCGTCTAAGTAGATGGGTGAAATGTTGGGAAAACACAAGAAAAAAATTGCAATGCATAAAAACAAAGAAATAAAATACACCAAGATCAAACAAAATTACATCACAGTTATTGGTCTACAAAAAACAGCACACTTGGCATGACCAACAATGCATTCACAGTTGTCCCTACAAATTTTGTAAAATAGGAGTAGTATAACCATATCAAAACTTGCGAATGAGATGAAACTTGAAGCTTGTAAGCTGAGAACAGTACTGAACTTAAAAGGACAGAAATTGGTGGCAAGAGTGAACAGGTGGCAGAAGTATTCAATGCAGAGAAATAGGAGATGATGCATTCTGGTAGGAAGGGCATGGAAAGACAAAACAAGATAAAGGATACAATTCCAAAGAGGGTGCAGGAGTGGAGGGACTGGAGCGCAGATATATAAAAATCATAGAAGGTCACAGTAGAGATTGAGAATGGCTAAAAAACATACAGTGGCTTACATTTTCTAATGGGGCTTAGAGCACAAGAGTTAGATGGCTGTGTTGAACTTGGATAAGACATTAACTTGGTCTCTGATGGAACACTGCAACCAATTCAGAGCGGTGCACTTTTGGATGGATATGAAGGCATTGGAGAAAATGCATAAAAGATTCATGAGAACTGCTACAGAGATTACGAACTTCAATTGTGAAGACAGATGGGAGAAGTTAAGAGTGCTTTCCTCGGTAAAGAGGCAGCTGGGGATGCAGGTATTCAAAAAAATCATGAGGCTTCTGGACTGAGTAGATGGAGAAAAACTGTTCCTTCTTATGAAGGGATTAAGAATGAGAGGGTATGGACTTAAGTGGCAAAAGTGATAAAAGCATATAAGAGATTATATTCAAACATTAAGCGGTTAATGTCTGGAATGTACTGCTTGCAAGTGCATTGGTAGCAAGTTCAATCATGGCATTCAAAAGGCAATTAGACTGGTACCAGTAAATGAAAAACATGCAGAGTCACGGTGAGAAGGCTGGAGAACAGCCCTGAGAAAAAATGCTCATTTGGAATGCCAGTGCAGTCTCGATTGGATAAGTAGCTCATCCTGCAAGATGATAATTGTGCACTCCTTTGGGTGATCATGTAGCATTTTAAAACCTCCTTGGGACTTCATGAAGCTTCATCAATACAACATCTAAATATTATTTGCACTCCTGAACAAACTTAATTTACGTTTTGTTCCCATTGCTGGTGAAATCTCATACCACAGCATATCTTTCAGTTGACGAGTCTCTAATTTTTAATCCAAATAGTTCATATTTGAGCCTATGCAGTAACTTTTTTGTTACTCACTCACAGGATGTGGGTGACGCCAGCATTTATTGCCCATCCCTAATTTACACCAACAGCAAGGGATTCGTGGTCACCATTAAACTCAACTCCAGAGTTTTTTTTTTCAAATTATTGAATTCAAATTCCATCTGCCATCGCAGGATTTGAACCTAGATCCCCAGAACATTAGCTGGGTCACTGGATTAACAGTCCAGCAATAATACCACTAGGCCAACACCTCCCCATAAACTGGCATCATGAAGCACTTCATGCAAGTCTAATTCTGTTCCCAGACATTGCTGACAGTTAATTTTTCAGCAGGATTGAGCATAAACCATATTAACCTGATCAACATGCCTCAACGATACAGCAGGTGGTGGATTCAGTGAGGGAAGGAGGACCACAAGGAGGATAATTAGAGCAAGAGATAGTTTAAAAGAAAACCATACAAGTAGGAAATAAAAACTGAAAGAACTGCAGATGCTGTAAATCAGGAAACCAAACAGAAGTTGCTGGAAAAGCTCAGCAGGTCTGGCAGCATCTGTGAAGTAAAGATCAGTGTTAATGTTTTGGGTCTGGTGACCCTTACCTCTGATCTTTTCTTCACAGA